CTGCCCTTATCTGGAGACTGTCTCCAGTCCTGAAGAACTAATCTTATCTAAAAGCTGTCTCTAAAACCAGATGCCTGATTCATCTTTAGCTTGGCCCTAGGCACAGATCTCTGCTCAGAAGACTTGTGCTAGGGACCCTACTGCCACATACAAAGCCTTGTGATAGGAGCAGGCCACTTACTGCAATTAGGGTTTGTCCCCAGGCTCCCTAATCCTTATATATTCCTGATAATTGAAATAAAATGAGCTACTTTACCGAAATCTGTATCTGGGAGGGCTGTCTCCGTCCGTGCTTATGGACCGCCAAAGATTTCTGTCACCCCATCTGCCTCTTTCGCCTCTCGACCTGGTGGCCAACAGGCCGAGGGGGGAAGAGGACCCCTACACTACATTTTGTAATCTAGAATTGTTTGGTGTGAGTCAGTCATAAGGAACCCAAAAGCCTTCCCACAGTTTTGTCTGATGCATAGGCAGAATATATTTGGACCAGAGCCAATGTGGCTAATTGTGGGCTTCTCTTACTTGAAATCCTTTCCAGGAAGTCACCTGACCTCTTTGGGCTGAATGCCTTTGTTATCTCCTTGTAGACTAAACAGGAGAAATAATTGAAACCAGTCCATGATCACATGTGTTCTGAGCCTGAGGCACAGCAACCTGGGACAGAATTCTGGGAAGGAGGACCATCTTCAAGGCAGACAGGATGAAGGAGAAAGACCACTGTGTTCTTGCTCATCTTTCTTTCCTTCAAAAAAAAGTCCCCTGTCCTTCCACTGATTTTTATACATCAGCAAGAAGGGGGAGCAAAAGACCTCCCCCTTTCAAGGTTGAGGTATAAAGTATCAACAAGGTAGACCCTTCAAAACACCTGGTAGCCACCCCTTTGGCCAAATCATCCCATTATGCAACCCTGCTGGGCAAAGCAAGCTCAGACTTTCCGGCCTTGAGTAAGGCCTAACTAGGGAGCCTCTGTGTGTCCCCACAGATTAAATCAAGACAGTTTTCAAATCCATTGATGGAAACATCAGACAGGTTGTAGCACAGTAGGGAAATCTCTTCTAGGGATGCTCTGGACCACCAACATTCCAGCCTCTCTACAATTGTGTAAGAGTCAATCAAGCTGCTTATAGGGGCTCATGCCTTTAATCTTAGCATTCAGGAGGCAGAGGCAGTTCACGGCTGGCATGGAGTACATGGAGAATTCCAGGATAGCCAGGGCTACACAGAGAGGCCTTATTTCAAAAACTAAAACAAAAGCCTCTAAACAACAAACATCAAAAACCAACAAACAAACAAAAAAAAAATCAGTAAAGTAGCCTTGTAGAAAGTTCAGTAGAAGGTGTGGTTACTTTCTCTGAATTTTTATTTATATAAGCAACTTTGAATAATCAACTTGTCTTTGGAAGAATATGAAAAACTTATTTTCTTCATAGAAAAGTCAACTTCTTGGATTCGTGTTGCTCTACTAAATTCCTAACAAAGTGGTATGGTTGTTCGTATGATGAAGGTTTTTGCTTAATTACTCCCTTGACTACAATTTTTCCAAATTACCATGCATATATTGCATAGTGCATTCTTACCTCCCATTTCTATATTTTGTTGACACAAAAATATGAATATATCATTTAAGCTCAATATCAGAGAATCTTTGGCTCTGAAAGAGGATATTCAAGTTGAGTGCCCCACCCTTCTGCCCTCTGCAGCCTTGTTCTTTCTTCTCACTTAGTACTGTTAATGTCAAGTACTATCGTGTGCCTCCATGATTGCCTGGACTTCCTCACTGTGGGGTTTACGGGATAGTGTATTTCTGTACTTCTGTATTTTTTTTTTCTGTCTATACGGGAACTTCTGTGAATACAGATTCAAAGTCAGACAGATCTGAGTTCAAAAGCTAGTCATATGCTAGCCATGTGGTCTTTGGTATTTTTCTTAAGTTTCCTAATAATTCATCTCTACATATACAAACTGAAGATACAGCATCAGCTACTTAGGGTAGGGCTAGGTGAGATAATGTAGAAAAGGTGCTTAACATAGTTCCCTGGGACTTTAAGTGAGATTATGCAGAAGGGTTTAGAGTCAAGTCAAAATTAGCATACAAGATATATGTCTGGGAACCCCACCCCACCAAGGCTCTGGGAGATGGACACACACAGGGAAAGTGCACATCGTACGAATTGAAGGGTTCACAACACGCACCCACGGTCGGGCGTGTTTGTATATGCCCGGCGGACACTTCTGCCTACCCAGTTCCAGGTCAAGATAGCCATTATCTAGGTCAAGGCGTCTCTCGAGATCAGGATCCGTGATGTTTCATGGCGACGTAAGTGCGCAACGTGGCCATGTGATCTACGCACATGCGTGGAGTAGTGACGTGACCTGGGCACGCCCAGCCTTTAAAAACAAGTGCCATATTCCCGGTTCCTCCTTCTTCTCCACACACGTGTCTCTTCCACAGGCCTGCACACTCTCTGTCCCTTTATCTTTAATAAAACTCTTATAATCGGATTCTGTCGTGTTTCGTGACATTTCCTTGCAGGGTAAGAACACAGCGGCCAATTAACTAACACGGATGACCTGTGAAAGTCCAGTCTTGGGGTACAGGAACCACTGTCTAAACTTTCTGTCAGGTCTGGTCCACTTTCCTTGAGAGCGCTCTCTCAATAAATTGTCCCTGATGCCCTATCACTATCCGCACGTCCCTCCATGTCCACGAACCTGGATGTGTTATGTCCTGATCACGGGGACCCCCAAAAGACCACCACGGAGACCGAATCCCGCATGTAAAAGCAAAGAGCCTTTATTTCAAGCTCCCGAGCTTGGTCCCTCTGTCTGTCCCACACAGAGGTGAGAGCAGAGAGCCCTGAACTCAGGTGGGGCAGAGTTTTTATCATAGCAGAGGTTGGGGTGAGGGGATTTCCAGGCTCCGGGACCCTGATTAGCTGACAATTGTCTAGGGGTATCTGTAAAACAAAAAATAGGTAGGTGCTAGACTCAAGGACATCTGGCCACCTTATCTAATGGTTGAAATGTTTGGGATGTTAGGTACTTCCTCATCCCTGGGTGGATCCCTGGGTGGGATCAGCTTAAGGCTGTTCCTGGATCTGGGTATTGCCTGCCAGTAAGCCTGTCACAGAAGCTGTGTCTAGGCCCCTAAGCCTGTCATGGCTGCTGTGTGGTCAAGCTATTTTGGGGCCCCTTCAAAGACGTCCAGGCAAATACCTTCCATACTCCAGTCCTCACCTGAACAATATTACCTCTTTTTATCTCCCAGAGACAACAGTTCTGTTACATGACATCATACTAAGCTGTTCTTGACTGCAAGCATTGTTAAATAGTCAACCCTTTCCAAGGAAACGCCCCTTTGAAAAAGAAAAACTCTGGGGGAAGAAGATCAATGTTAAAGGACGGTAATTAAAATTTCCCAATCCTACTCAATGTGAACAATTTTGGAGGGGTGTTAGTGGGAAAACTCTAAAAATATTATGCCACTAGATAATTTTTATCCTGTGCTTACAGTAATGTTGGCCCTTGGCCTGGCAGGATGTCCTGATGAGCTGAGTTCGATCTTTGAAATAGAAACAAAAGCAGAGAAGTGACCCTTGAAAGCTGCCTTCTGACTTCCGCATACGAGCCTGGGCACACTCACACCTGCACTCATGTGTGTACATAGTAGAGAAACACACACACACACACACACACACACACACACACACACACACACACACTAAATGAAATTAAAGTACAAAATGAAAACATTAGTGCTGTCCCTGTGTAAAACAGTAGACACGGAACGTTCATACTTCAGCACTAGTCCCTCTTCTGTGTGCTCTGGCCCAGGGCTGACGCCATGTATTCCTAATTCCCTCCAGGAGAGGGTAATGAACAAGGCCCACGCCCCCTCCCCACACCACTGCTGTTTCTCCATGACGATTCCGCGCTGACCCAGCTCTTTCTGTTCTCCATTTCTCAGGACAACCTTTGACCCTGCCTCATCACGTCCGATCTGGCAGGGCCCTGGGTGTGGGTGTGCTGACTTCTGAACACTTAGAGTGAAACCAAGTCACGGGAGTGTTCCCTCCCTTGGCCGGCTCTTCCCAGAAGCCTCTACTGTTTGTCCTCAGCTAGAACAGGAAAGGGAAGTGCGGCAGGAAGTGGTTTGGATTCCTCAGTGTGAACACCCAACATAAAACAAAGCTGCTGAAACGGTCCCTAAGCTCCGTCCTCTCCTCGCCAACAGACTTTAAAATTTCTTTCTCCTCCAAAGACTTGTTTTGTTTGTATATATATATATATATTTATATATATATAACACAAAATATTTATATATATAAACAAAATATATTTATATATATATATAACATATATATAAATATATAAATATGTTTCAGACATGTTTAAGTACAAAGACGAATATAATCTCCAAGTGCTAATCACATGCACTTTTAATGGTCATCACATTTTGCCCATTGTGTGCCCATTCCTCCTGATTTTAATATTTTAATTTTTAAAAAAATATTTTTTAAGATTTATTTACTTATTATGTATACAGAAGAGGGCACCAGATCTCATTACAGATGGTTGTGAGCCACCATGTGGTTACTGGAAAATGAACTCAGGACCTCTGGAAGAGCAGTCGGTGCTCTTAACCTCTGAGCCATATCTCCAGCCCTAACATTTTAATTTTAACTTTTCATTTATTATCTGTTGTATATTGCTCATATCCCCGTGCCCTCCTCTCTCCCCTGCCATTAGTTCTGGTTGTCTCCTTAGACAGTTTGAATTCTACTTTCATGGCATATATCCATATATAATTTTATCTCCCTCTACAAAACCTAGGAACCACTGATGAGAGAAAACGAACATTTTTCTTGCTGATAACTTTCTCACTATGATTATCTCCAGTTGAACCCATTTTCCTGCATTGACAGAACTTTGTTCTTTTTTCGTGGCTGAAAAAATTCCATTGTGTGTGTGTGTGTGTGTGTGTGTGTGTGTGTGTGTGTGTGTGTGTATGTACTACACTTTCCTTATTTATTCCTCTGTTGTTGGACACGGAGGTTGGTTCCACAATTTAGTTATTATCCAGAGTGCTGCCTTTACTTCATCATTTAACAGTTTTTATCGCATTTATTTGTGTTGTATGTGTATGTGAGTGCACACATGCCATGGAGTGAGTGTAGAGGTCAGAGGACAACCTACAGGGGTCAGTTCTTTCCCTTCTACCATGTGGGGCCCAGGAATCAAATTCAGGCTGCCAGATTTCAAGGCAAGCAGCTGAACCTACCAAGAAGAAAAAGGAATAATCCCAGTTTTCTGTTGTGTTCTGAGACAGGGTCTAATGTAGCCCAGGTGGGCCTTGAGCTGTATAAGGCCAGAGATGAGCTTGAAGTCCTTATCCTCCAGCTTCCACCTCTGGAGTAGCTGAGATTGAGCCTTTGAGCTCCCACTGCCCTGTTTTAGGCAGTTCTGAGGACTTGAATCCAGGTCCTCCGATATGCTAGGCCTGTTGGAATTTCTAGCCACTCCCCCATCACCGCACAAGCACTGGCGAGACGCTTAGTCGTTTTGGGGGTCTTACAACCTATGCAATCCATGAGCTGCAGCGTGGTCATGTAATGTGCATGCAGTGTGATCACGTAATCCATGCACATGTGTGGCACAGCTACGTAAGCCCATATGCACATGTGTGGGGGAATCCATAAAAAGCGAGTCGCAGACCCCTCCCCTCTCTCTCCCTGGGCCTAAGCACTCCTTTCTGCTCCTTCTCTTAATAAACTCTTAGAGTGGGTTTTGTTGTTTCCTGTGGCTTTTCTCGCGCTTAATGAATAACACAGTGCCGCATAATAACTAACAAGGCCAGCCTTCTAGCCACTGAGCTACATGGGCATTATGTTATTATCTTTGTTGCTGGGATATTTTAAAGCTAGCCATGAGTTTATTTTAGTGGGATCTCTGCCCTTCTGGTCCTAAAACTGGAGGTTGGCAGAGCAATCCAGGCTCCGTGAGCTCAGCCTCCCCTCCTTTCCCTGCTCGGTCTCTATTGCTGCCACACGGTCAGGATCAGGTGCAATGAGCCGTCATCAGCTGGTAACTATTCTGCACATAAGCACTGCTGACTACCTTGATTGCAGACAGCGTTTGGCTCTGAGGAAAAGAAGAAAGCTGGAGACGGGAAGCATTCACTGGGAAAGAAAAAGTAAAGGCAATGTGACCCTTTTTGACTCATGAATTCAATTAGTGTTCTAGAGCATTCACTGCTCACACAGGTTGCCCCTTCCCACTTGTTCTACAGTTGATTGACAAGGCCGCAGAATGCATTTCTTTCTGGAAGTTCCCTTAAGTGGTCTCATCGTGCACTTTTCAAAGTTTCTATTATTCATCTCACAAGTTTAGAAAAAGTAAAGTTTAAAAACTCTTCTAGCATGTTTCAGTTGAGTGAGTTCTTTCCATAGTTCTTACATTTTCTTCAAATACTGGACCTGCTGGAAGGTGATGGCCTTCATCTCCCATAGGTGGATAGGACCTGCAATCCAGGGCCTAGCAGGCTTTCCTGAGAGGGTATTGCAAGTAGTCCTCACTGTACCTGACTGGTTGAGCACTATTGTTAAAGATGAACTTCTCGGAGACCATGTTGAAAAACTGACTTTTCCATTATATACATATACATATACATATACATATACATATACATATACATATACATATACATATACATATACATATACATGTAAGAAGGATGGGCCACTACTGTCCCTATGCAACAACTATCCCCACAGGAAAATAGGAGTGTTGTGGGGAACTTCTGGATTGTCGTTTGGGGGTATATGAGTCAAGGGTATAAGAGTCAGGAAGGATTGGCCATGATTTCAAAAGGCCTATTTTGTTGTTTTTCTTTTGTTTGTTCATCGATTTGTTGCTTTTTGGGGGGACAAAGTCTCACTCTAATGAAAACTGGCCTTAAGCTCACCGTGAAGCCTAGGGTGGCTTTGGGTTTGTGGCAGTCTCAGACTCCACCATACTGGGATTATAGGCATGTGGCACCCCACACAGATGAATAAAAATGCTTATTTAGTTTATAGAAGTAGAACCTAGTGTAGGTGGGTTTTTTCATCAGGACTGCTGGCTCCCCAGTAAGCTCACAGAGACTTAGTAATTAGTTATAAACACTTGGCAGATAGCTTAGGCTTATTACTACCTAGCTCTTACAACTTAAATTAACCCATATTTATTGATTTCTGTGCTGCCTCATGGCTCGTTACCTCATCTTCTACATGTCCTGCTTCTCTTGAGTCTGGCTGGTGACTCTTCCTAATTTCTTCCCATTGTTCTCTCAGTCTGGCTCTCCCTCCTAACCTCTTCCTGCCTAGCTATTGGCCATTAGCTCTTTATTAAACCAATGAGAGCAACACAGCTTCACAGAGTACAATAGGATCATTCCACAGCAACCTAGTAACTTCTGAGGAGCAGAGAGTTAAGAAAAAAGAAAAAGGCTCCAGTGCATGCTCAGAATAGAACACAAAACATCAGTGCTAGATGAGAGCTTCAACACTGTATTTTAAACAACTACAGGCTGTGTACAGCAGCTTGCTCACTTCTATTTCTTATTCTCTTGAGTTAAGAGATTTACAGAGCTATTCTCTTTTGGGATGAAGAGAGTTCTGGAAAGTTTGAGTTAGACTTCACTGTGGCTGCAGGCACACATGAGATCATGCCTGGTTCGATACATGGGTGCTGGGATCTGAACTCAAGATCTTCATGGTTGAGCAGCAAGTGTTCTTAACCATTAAGCCACCTCATAGGATCTCTCTGTTTTCTTTCTTTTTCTTTCATTGAAAATAGATTTTCCCCCATACAAAGTATTCCAATTACCGTTTCTCCTCATAATTCTTCCAGTTCCTCACTATCACCCTTCCCATCTGGATCCTCTCCATTTCTGTCTTTCATTAGAAAACAAACAGGCACCTAAGGGATAATAATATAATATAATATAGTATAATATAATATAAAAGACAAAACAAAAATAAATCCATCAGAACAGGACAAAACTAACAGGAAAAGAGCCCAAGAAAAGTCACAATAAATAGATATAGAGGCAGAGATCTACTTGTTTGCACATTAAAGAATTCCACTGAAACACAAAATCAGAAGCCATAAGATATACACAAAGGACCTGTATTTTAAAAAAGAGAAAAAAAATAAAAAGATAAAATTTAAATGAGAAAAAGCCCCCACATGACATTATGAGACAAGGAACCTCGAAACATGCCGGTGAGTTTGTTTTCTGTTGGCATCTACTGCTGGGCATGCAGCCCACCCTTAAGAGTAGTTTGTTTCCCCAGTGAGATGTCTTCAAAGGGGACATGATTTACCACTCTCAACCTTTCATTCTTAGATCGTAAAGTGAGTCAAAAACCACTCAGTTCTTCCAAGATTGACACCCATGTCATAAGTGTGGAGTAGAAATAGAATGAGATACACTGAGTAAACCTCACTCCTACCTCTTTAAGGGCATAAGGATGGGTAGGATGTGCTAACAATATACAACTGGCCACTCTGTTCAGCTAAATAATCTTCACTGTGCAGAGACACACAGCCTTCCAGGATAACAGGGCTTATAATCCATTCCTCCCCACCAATTTATCACATGAAAACTCTAGGGACTTCATCTTATTGAAAGAAATTTCAAAATTTTTAAAAAAATTTCCTTCCTTCCCCTTCCTCCCTCCCCCTCCCATCCTCTCTCTCTATTTCTCTCTCTTTTTTTTTAAATGGGTGTAGTGGTTTATTCTTTTTTGTTTTTTGTTTTGTTTTGTTTTAATGCCAAATGCCTTTTATTGAAGGAGGGAGGAGGTCTTAAATACAGTCTTACAGCACAATGGGAGAACCCCGGAGGGCAGAAGTTCACTATCGATGTTTTACAATCTTGCATCTAAGCTGTTAACACCCAATATGCAGGATACATAGACAAGGAACTTCCCTTAAGCATTTAGGAGGGTAGAACCCGGCAGGGAACTAGCATAGGGAGGACATAAGGTCAAGGTCAGCAAGCAAGGCAACAGTTACCCAAAACGGGAGCCAGGGCCCTACAGGTCCCCCATGTTACTAAAAAATGAGCTTGTGACTTAGGTTGTGTGGGAAGTCAGCAGATCATCTTACCCGTCATGGAGACACCTGCCCAGGCCACACAGGTGCTTTGTCTTAGGCTGGTGAGCGCCCTCCAGGCATTACCCGTCTCTGAATACTCATTATCATACAGGCTCAATCGTGTGTGAGCTGCAGAGTTAACTGCCTGCAGCTCTTATCTTGAAGGGAATGAAAGATAGCCATTGTGAGTGACCAGGGCCTGGGAACACAGATTTAGGTTACCTCAAATTCCATGTTCCAGTGTAGACACAGTTTCACAAATTTGGTAGTTTTATGGGATGATGAAAGCCATACATTAAGGCACATTTAAAATACAAATACGTTGGTGGGTCCATCAGAGAAGCAGGTACAGCAAGATGCTATCTGATGACATTCTTAGCTTTTGGGTTGGTAGAAGCTAGTGGTTTGCTAAGTTAATAGATTGCAAAAGATTTCTATCTGTTAGTCACAAGCTGCTAGTTCAGACACTGACACAGACAAGGAATGGCTGTTTGGGAAGGAAGGCTAGAACTAGCCCAAGATAAGGTCATTAGCCTCTGGACCTGAAACATTCCAGTCTCTCCACAGTGCTGACATTGTAATCAGTCAATCTCTGTGGACACAGCTTCTTTCAGGAGTTTCTGTTCACAAAGACAAGGGGCAATGAGTGGGGGCTGGCAGAGCAGGAGCCCATCCTGTCCTTCCATATCCTGCTAATGTGGCTTCACAGGTCACTAAACATCTTGTGGCTTCAACTGTATCATAAAACCGGAGGAAGAATTCTAAACCTCATCTGCTAAAGAGGCCAGAGGGCCGTATGAAGTGACTTATGTGAAAATGAACTAAAATGTAAAAACATCTACCTAAATCCTCAGATCTGGAGATGGTCTTTGTAGTGTCTTAACCATCCCCAGGTGATCTGAAATCCAGCCGAAGGGAATGTCTACATGGTGAGCTGACTGCTTCTATTCACCCCGTGCAGGAGCTGATGAACTCTTCCGCTTTGGATAAACTTTTTCTGAGGGCCGAGTAACTACATTTACAAAATCTGGACTTTTTCTTTTCACTACAAATAGTCAAATGAAATCATGATACATTGATTGTTGTAAACTGTGAGAAGCAGTGTTGGAAAGGCGATGCAAATAGAAGACAAAACAAAACATAAGAAACTAACATTCCAGAAGCGATAGGAAAGGGCTTAAAGCAGTACGTGTAGAGAACAAGACCATCATAAGGCTTGAAATTCATGCACAGGGTCAGACGGCTCTAAACCACAGGTTAGTGGGTGTAACTCAGAGTAGAACAGTTGACTGATGAAATAAAACTGTCTGCAGTTTCCCCTGGCTAAAGACACTTCCTGTCATTGCCTAAATTGCTTTACTTCAAAGTGTTTGTGGGAGCAGAAATGCAAATTAGCTGAGTGTGTTTATTCTGTGCTGGGAAGAAGGGGAGCGGAATGGGTTCAGGAAACCCGGCTGTGTTTAAAAGCCCACAGCTCACAAGGAGATAGAATTTTATGGAGAGTGGCTTCTGGGTACTGCTCACAGACAAGAAAGCTCTAGGAGGGCAGAACCAGAGGCACAGAAAGAGCCAGGACTATCTGAGGCTGCTTTCAATTATAGGTAAGCCACAGCAGTGTGTCGGGGAGCAATCCGGGGCCTCATGTACACTAGGCAAGAACTCTACCAACCCAGCCACATCTACCGTCCGTTTGGTTTCATTCTTCCTACGTTTCTTTCTTTCCTCTTCTTTAAAACAAAAGCAAGCTCTATCTAGTTTTATTAAAGAAAAGCTTTCCTGGTTTATTTTTCACTGGTCTGTTCTGGCAAGCTTCTGATAACGTCAGAACCACTTGAGTCAATGCCAGCCAGGGTGCGTCTGCGGTAGCATTTTCCACATGCGGTGCCCAATTCAATATTATTGCCACCGGAGTGATGGAAGCGAATTTTGGCCAAGAGCATAGTATTCTATTTCCGGTTTCCTCAGAGCTGGGCAGTTGTTGACCAGGATGACCAACCAGTTTTATGCTTCCCTGTCTCTTCAACTTCCGAGTCTGCTAGTACTCAGCGTGTCCTTCCCACTTTTCGTAACAAGGTGGAACCTAGAGTTGGCGACTCCCAAGACCTGTCTTCTTTTCAACTACCATCTTCCTGCCTTAGTTGTGGGACGGGACCCAACCAAGAGCGGCTGCCATGATAACTAGAGAGTGGGAAAACACTGCTGCGTTTCTTCCCTAACTACAAATAGAAGCTCGAATGGCAAGATGTAGCAGAGGCCTGAGCTGTGACTGGACATTCCTGAAGCTTTACTTTGGGAGTGAGAATGAATCTAGTACTTTTTCTATTCATTTTTGTCTCTCTTTGGGAGAAGGTAATAATAACAAGCAAATTTAAAAAAAAATGGATACATTGTCTACTATGATGAGTCTAGTCCTTTATCTAGAGCAAGGCTTTCGGCAAGAATTTCTCTATACTCATTCATTTGGCTTAGCTGTCCTCTTTGGTGATTAGGAAGTAATTTCTGTTTAAGAATTGACTGATGGGCTCGGGCTAGAGCTCAGAGGGAGAGTTCCAGCTTAGCATGTGCAAGCATCTCCAGCACCACAAGAAAAAGGATGGAGTGGTACCCAGATTCCTTATTGATTCCTCAGATGCAAATCTGTTTAAAATCACTTCTTCTGGTCGCTTTCCAATCCTCAAGACCCACACTTGATTGCACAGGAAAGGGGAATGTGGTGAGGAGGGGCAAAAGGAATGTTCAAGAAAGAGATTCATTCCCTGAGGTGGGTAGAGCAATGTGGAGAACTGAGTGGAGAATCGGGGGCCTATTTTGCTGACTTTGGCTCACCATGGGTCCGAGATTGTCTCTACATCATGCCTTCATTTCCCCCGCTTCTTCTCCAGGCAAAATGAAGGTGACATTAGTGAACCTATTGTTTATGATGTTGCTGCTGCTGCTAGGCCTGGGGACGGGCCTGGGCCTCGGCCTTCACATGGCTGCTGCAGTCCTGGAGGACAGTGATCAGCCACTGAGTGATTTTTGGCCTGGCAACTCCCGGGACACAGCTGAGACCACGGAAGAGGGAGAAGACACCCGGACCACAGAAGCCCTGGTGCTTGGCTACAGAGAAATGGCACAACCTATCGGGCCAGAAGAAACTGTCCTCAACGAAGACGAAGTTGGAGGAAGTAGGATGCTGAGGGCTGACGCTCTCTTTCAGAGCAAACAAGATCACCTGAGGCTTGACTTGAATGTCAGAGAATGTAACACCTTGATGGCACCCAAGATGAAGGAGTACAATCACAGTTGCATAACCCAATACACATTCATCCACGAGGATCCAAGCGAGGTCAAAGCAGTCTGTGACAGTCCCCCGGTGGCCTGTGGCCTCAAGGGGGGCAAATGTCACAAAAGCTCCCGTCCTTTCGATCTGACATTCTGCAAGTTGTCCAAAGCAGGCCAGGTCACTCCCAACTGCCATTATCTGACTTACATATTTGAAAAGGTCATTGTCACAACCTGCAGTGACACAAAGCCACTGGAGGTTAACTGAGGCAGCTCCTGCCTTTCCCTTCTCTTCACCTCATTGTCTTTCTTCTTTTGCATTTCCTTTTGCTGATGCTTCTGTCTCCCACTCGGGTGCACTGTAGAGAAGATCCTGGGAAGAGAGGATGGAGCACCGCTGATCTTTGTCATCTGAAAATGTAATTATTCTTTGCGTTAGGGGTCATCCAACTGGCATTTTATTCTGGGGGTCAGAAATGGCAAAACGATGCCTAGTTTCTCCTAGACATCTCTCACCTTCAGTCCTTGCCCTACAAAGGCCAAGCTCTGGACCCCCCACTTAGCCATGGTCATCAGCCTGATGCCTGGACTGAGAACAACTTGGGCACAGATTAGAAGAGTTCCATACATCCTTGACTCATCTCCTTCCTTGCTACCCACGTGGGGCCTCTGTGGTAATCACCGACTCCTGGGCCCTGCCTGTACAAAGGCAATGCACTTCTCTGGCACAGATGTAATTAAAGTGATTCTATCTAGGACTGTGTCGGGAAAGCCATGTGGTCAGGCTTCTTATCCTGAGCCTGGAAAATTACAGAGATGGTTCAGGAAGAATAAGGGCTTGGGTAAGGACCCCCTCCCCGCTTCAATCCCCTTTCCTCTCTTCCTGTTTTCACAACCTTTCTCTTTGCTCCTCTTTTCTTTGTTTCTTTCTTCTCTCAGACTTTTCTGTCTTCTCCTTTTCTTCTACCTTTTCTTTTTGGGCCCTCATTTCTCCAGATTTTTTTTTTTTTTAGCTACTCAGTAAGCTAATGTGTTATCTGGGCTATACTAGGCAAGCAGATGTTGGTCCCACAGATTGAATCTGGCATAGGGAGTTGGAGGTTAGATGAAGAGAAAGAAAGGAAAGAGAGAGAGAGAGAGAGGGAGGGAGGGAGGAAAATAGATAGATAGATAGATAGATAGATAGATAGATAGATAGATAGATAGATAGAAATGACTGTTCTTGGTTGTCAACTTGACTACATCTGAAGTTATAAAAACTCACTTTCTAGACCAGGCTGGCCTTGAACTCACAGAGACCCACCTGCCTCTGCCTCCTAAGTGCTGGGATTAAAGGCATGTGCCACCACCGCGCAGCCTAGTCTGGGTCTTTTGAGGTGGGAAGATCCACCTTTTGGTACAGCCTATACAAAGCACATGGAAGAAGGATGCTCTCTCCCTGCCTCCTGGCCCTCACTCTTGCTGCCAAGTTCATTACTTCACTGGCATTAGAGACTACTTCGAGATTCCATTGTATGCTGGAGACCAGCTGAGACATCCAGCTTTGTAGATTGAGCAACTGCTGGATTCTTAGACTTTTTGTTGGTAGACAGACATTGTTGGACTAGCTGGACCAGAGCCTGTAAGTCATAGATTTTTGAGATTTGCCGGATCCATACTTTCCCATTATCCTTCCTCTGCTTATTATACTTCAACTAAATGTCAGCTATATTTCCGTTACTGTCATAAAACATCCGAGAACTAACTTAAAAGAAGGAAGCATTCATTTTGGGACCTCTGGAAGAGTAGCCAGTGCTCTTAGCTACTGAGCAATCTCTCCAGGCCCCATAATTTTGCTTTTTGAAAATCCAAAAGGTTCCAAGTTCCAAAAAGCACAGGCCTCAGAAGTTTCAATAAGGAACTGTGTTGCAACATATACATATTATATAATTAGTCTTTGATGAATTTGTTTACATATGACACTAGTTAGGCTGTAAGCATCTCTGTGGGAGCAGCTCTATTATGTTTCTCCCATATTCTTCATCAGTACATTTACAGGTCACTGATAATCTACTTAGTGATTATCCATCCAGTGCCTCCTCAGAGGTTATAATAATTACAGTGAAACATAAACTCATTTAGGAGAAGTGAAAATTTCTGATCCTTGTCAAGTACTGTACTTGTATTTCAAAGGACTGTAAATGGACTCTTTTTTTTTTTTCTAAGACAAGCAGGAAGAAAACTACCATTGTATGTCATGCACACTCTTACAAGCTGTCCTAGAGTCATTTGGCTTTATTTAATTACATTTAATAGAAAAGTAACAAGCTCGGGGATGCCCACTGTATGCCCACTGGTGACTTTGCTGTTGCTATAACAAAATACCTAGAGTGAGGCATTTATAAAAAACAAAACAAAACAAAACAAAACCGTTTCTTTAGCTCATAGTTTGGGAGACTGAAAACCCAAGTTTGGATGTGGTATTTGATCTGGACGTGGCATTTCATTTGGGCGTGGCATCTGAGTGAGGTGCCTGCACACTCTCAGGCTTTTGCGCACTCGGTCTCCAGTTGGTTGGTGCCGCTTGGGGAGGTTCAGGTGGTGCAGCCTGGCTGGAGAAAGTACATCACCGGGGGCGGGCTTTGAGATGAAAAGCCTCATGCCACTTCCGGTGTGCCGTCTCTGTTTCGGTGCTGGTGGTTGAAGACATGAGCTCTCAGCTTCCTGTTCCTGCAGTCATACCTGCTGTGCCTCTTCATCGTGATGGAGTCTTTCCCCTCTGGAACTGTAAACCCCAATAAACTCTTGATTATAAGTTTCTTCTGGTTGTGGGTATTATCATAGCAACAGAAAGGTGGCTAATGCACTGAGAAACCCCATCAGCTCAGCCTATGGTGAGGGCTCCTTCAGTTGGGTCACAACGGGGCAGGTAGACATCATGGCGCTAAAGGGAGGGATGTAGACCAAGACAAGAAGTTGGAGACTGTGAAGCAGAGAGCTTTGCTCTTTTGTGACAGCCTGCTCTTACGAGAACAAACTTCTCTGTGTGACCAGCACTGACCCTTTCAGAAGCAGTAGCACCAATGACCTCCCTGCCCCTCACCAGGCCTCACCTCTTAAAGGCTCTTCAGCACTGACACCCCGAAGAGCAAGCCCCTACCGCATGAACACTTCGGGAACAATCCTCACCAAAACACAGTCCCAGCCTCTGTGAGCCAAGACCACCCAATTTACCAGCAGCTGCTCTGCTCCTCAGTGGGGGGTGGGGGGGCTCACTGCACCTCCCTCTCCTGTCTGGTACATCACAGAGTTTGCTTTCCTGTGCTCCTCAAAGGGAAAGGTTCAGCTCTAAAGAAAATTTGACGACTTGGATTCTGTAGTGTATGCTTTCTGTGTCAATCAAAAAGCATTTACAAGCCAGCATGATGGTATACACTTGTAATCTCAGGACTAGGGCAGGAAAATCTTGAATTCATGCTAGCCCTGGGATACACATAGAATTTCGGGGCAGGCTGAGCAGCAGAGAAAAACCTGCTTCAAAAAAACCCCTACAGATTATCATCTATCTATCTTTTTATCGCTCCATCTCTATCTATCTATCTATCTATCTATCTATCTATCTATCTATCTATCTATCTATCATCTATCTATCATCTCAAGCACACACACAAAAATAATTTTTCAAAATAATCCTATTATTTACACTTTGAAATTTTTAAAAATAGTGTTTTTCATGCAATATATTTTGGTCATGGTTTCCCTCCCCCATTTCCTCACAGATCCTCCCCACCCTTCCAACCCTATGCTTTCTTTTTCTCTCTTAAGAAAACTATCTCGGGAGCACATGATGGTGTTCCTAACAACGCAGCTCTGGCTACGAAACCGCCTCACAGACCGCTTTTGGCGAGTTCAGGAGGTGTTGAAACATGCTCAGCATTTTAGAGGAAGGAAGAGTCACTGCTACCAGCTGGCAGTCAGGGTGGTGACCAGAGCCTTCCTTAAGTGTATTCAGGCCGGCAGACTGAAGAAGCAGAACCTGAGGACCCTCTGGAATTACACCTGCCTCCCAGGAACATGGCTTACAGTCCCCAACACTCATTGTCAACTTAATTAAGTGCCAAGTGGAGCTCAACAAGAAAGTACTTGTGGACCTGGCCATCTATGAGCCAAAGACTTTTAAATCTTTGGCAGCTTTGGCTAAGAGGAGGCAGCAGGAAGGATTTGCTCCAGCTTTGGGGGCTGGAAAGGAGCCTGAGGGCATCTTTTCCAGAGTGGTGCAGTACCACTCAAAGCTGCAGAGCTATGGAAATTCTTATAAACAAGATAGTTGCACAAGGATTGTCTATCACCTGTAAGTCTGATTTGTATTTATTTACATTTTAGCAACAGGCTAGAGAGAAAAGGTTTTTACTCAGTGGCACAGCCCAAATCTGCCCTGTAAAGATTGTACAAATAAAGCTTTGGAAGTGTTTAAAAGAAAGAAAGAAAGAAAGGAAGGAAGGAAGGAAGGAAGGAAGGAAGGAAGGAAGGAAGGAAGGAAGGAAGGAAGGAAGAAAACAAACAGGCAAACAAAAAAGACATACAATCAAGAATAAAACAAAATAAACTAGCAAATGAACAAACAAAAAGAAACAAAGACCATGAGAAACACATACACATGCAGATATATACACATACACACAAACAAAACCCATGAAACACAAAATCAGAAACTTTAATATACAAGCAAAAGACATTTAAGTTAAAAAAAAAAAATACCCAAAGCCGGGTGGTGGTGGCGCATGCCTTTAATCCCAGTATTTGGGAGGCAGAGACAGGCAGATCTCAGTGAGTTCAAGGCCAGCTTGGTCTACAAATCGAGTTCTGGGACAGCCAGGAATGTTACACAGAGAAACCCTGTCTCGAAAAACAAAACAAACAAACAAACAAAACACAAAAAAACAAAAAAAAAATCCCAAACAAATCAACATGAGCCTCCCCTCGGCCCCCCCCAAAAGTATCAAAAAATGCCATTAAGTTCATTTTGTGTTGTTCATACACTGGCTTCTTTCTGTGTGTAGTTTGGGCCATGGAGCAGTTTGGGTTTGGGCAGGGTAACCAAGATCTGGAGAGGCCCCCACTAGTTCTAGGACTGCATTCTGGGCATCCACGTCTGTTGCCCTGTTTCCTTGGACCTCTGGAGAATCCCTCTTTTGATGTCCTTTGTAGTAGACAATGGCTACCTTTTTGCAGTCATGTGCCCTCTAGTAAGATCACGATTTCTTCTTTGTTTTTGATTTCCTTTGTGACTGAGGGGAGGAGTCCCAGTTCTAGACAGAGGCCCCTGGACATGGGCTGTGAGTATGCAATGATGCCTTAGCCCTTCCCTAAGTGAAGAGCGTGGGTTGATGCCAACAGCTCATCCCTTTGTGCTGAAGTCCCTCGGCCGAGAGACTGGGCCCACCTTGTCCTGTCCAAACGAAACTGTTTGCGTCCGTGTATAGTACCTCTTCCACTTCTCATAGCAGGGCATCTGTTAGGTCAGGTCTTATGGTTTGGACTGCAACAGTCACTTCTGGGCAGTCACGGAGGGGCTCTGTTAGATTATCACCTGGCAGTAGGCTGGCTGGCTTGATGGTTGAAGTTTTACAGAATTAGATACAGGGCTGGTCTAGGAGAAGTGTCTGGGGATGCATTATTTGGGCTTTGGACGTCCACCTCTCTGAGTCCCTCTCAAGGGGCCTTGACAGAGTGTGAGCTGGTTAGGAAGAGTTCCTGGCTCAAGCTCAGATTGTCAGCTTCTTTCACTAGGATGGCTGTAGAAGCAACTGCCAAAAACAGCTGGTGGGAAGAGAAGAGCTGCGGGTATCCCGAATCTTGAGCATCATTTTCAGGTAACAGTTTTGGTTGGAGGAGCTATTCCTCCAGTAGAGGGCAGATCATAAGAATATGAGTTGGGGGCTTAGTACAATTCAAAGAAAGTGGGCTGTGGCCTCCCCCAAAGGATAGGGTGGTCCATAGGCTTTGTAATAAGTATCCCCAAATTAGGGAACAGGAACAGTCTGGCATGACTAAGAAAAAGTGGGTCACAGTATCTGGTCCCAAGTCCACCACCTGAGAGTCATCCAGGGAAAGAGAACAGTCTGTCCAGTTGCCCTTTGGATGGCTGTTCATAGAGACAGGCCTCCTCTGTCAGGACTGAGTGGGCTGTTCCTGGGTCTACCAGGAATTGAACAGACTTGCCCCCTACCTACCTTTAATGTTACTCTGGGTTCCTGGGGGCTCAGTGGGATGGAGGTCTGGCTCTGTCAGTCCTCATCCAAATGAGAACAGGGTGTTTTTTCCCCTCGTTTTTCTTTTTCTTCCAGGGTCATTTTTGTTTACAGTAAGCACACTGGTCCTTCCAGCCTCTGCCTTTCCTTGTATCTCTGGCTCCCCCGTGGGATCTCTCTTAGTGGTCTCCCTGAACACTGTCACTACCGCCTGGATCAATCTTTTGTTTTGTTTTTCTTCTACAGAGTCATGGTTATTGTAAACCTTTGGCACAATCACCAATCATTGGGGCGTATTTATACCCTCAAACCCCTCTACCTTCTGAAGTTTCTTTCTAATGTCTGGGGCCGACTATATAACAAAATCAATGTTGGTTGCTCACTGGTTTTCTGACATGTCTGGGTCTGTGGGTGTGAACACCCAGTAAGCCTCACAGAGGCACTCCAGGAATCCAACTGGCGATTCTTGGGGACCTTGTATAAATAACCTCATTCACCTTAGATAGATTGGTGAGTTTTCTAGCAGCTGCTTTCAATCCGTCTAACAAGGGCTTGTGGAAACTGTTTAGAGCCTTCTTACCTTGGTTGGTGTTGGGGTCCCAGTCAGAGGAAAACCTTCTCTGTTTGGAATGCATAGTCCTCAAGTGATCCTTTACTCAGGGGCATCTTTTCTCTTTTCTTTCTTTCTTTTCCTTTTCCTGTTTTTTTTTTTTTTTTTTTTTTTTTGAGACAGGATTTCTCTGTGTAGTCCTGGCCATCCTTGAACTCGTTCTGCATATCAGACTGGCCTCAAATTCAGAGATTCCCCTGCCTTTGCCTCTTGATTTCTGGGATTAAAGGTATTTACTACCACCTCCTGGCTGGAGAGCCGCTTTTCTAGTCTCAAACCAGATCTTGTCCCAATCCTGGGTCATGAAGAGGGTGTCCAGGAGCTATAGACTTTCATTCCAGGTGGGTGATGGGTGTAAAAGACAGTCTCAGGGAGACTAATGAGAGCCTGAGGTTTTTCAGAGAACGGTGGATTTCGAGTTTTCCAATTATACAGGTCATTGGTTAAAAAGAAGACATGAACCATGCCTGGGGTAGAGAAGGAATTTTCAGGTCTTGGGCCTGCTGGGTGCACCTCCCTTAGAGAGAGGATGGGGCTTCCTCCACCCAGCCAGAGCCACTATAGCATGTAGAGGGAAGAGGGGCCATGAGGTGGAAGAGACTACCTCTTCCCCCTGAGCACAGCCAAGGGAAGTATTTCCCTCTCAGTGGTCATGGCCAGAGTCTATGCTGAGACACAGGCAGTGAGAAAGTCAACATCCTCTGTGGGGCTGAGAGAACAGACAGAGGCTTGGCTTTCTCCGACCAAACCAAGAGGATTTGGGTCTCCAATGAGAGGGCAAAGGTCTTAAGCCAGGAGTGTGGGTCTTGTACCAGAGAAAGCCACCGATCAATATAGGGAAATTGATTGGGGTGGCCGGAGTCTCCAGTCACCATTTTCCAGATGGCTTGAACAGTTTGAGGGTCCAGAGGTACTTCACTGGTCCACCTGACTCCAAAAGAGAGTCACAGAAGGTTTCTGGGTGAGAAAACAACATATCCATCCTTGTCCACAAAACCCTCTGTCAAAGTTAGGGTTCTATTGCTGTGAAAAGACAGCGTGACCATGGCAACTCTAATACAGGAAAACATTCAACTGGGGCTAGCTGGCTCACAGTTTGGAGGTGTAGTCCATTATTGTCAGGGTGGGAAGCTTGGCTGCATGCAGTCAGACATGATGCTGGAAGAGGTAGCTGGGAGGTCTACATCTGGATCTGCAGGAAGCAGGAAGAGAGACACTGAGCCTGACACTGAGTGACCTTTGAAACCTCAAAGCCCACTCCCTGTGACATACTTTCTCCAACAAGGTCACACCTGTTCCAACAAGGCCACACCTCCAATAATGTCACTCTCTATGGATCTATTTTCATTCAAACCACCACACCCTCTTTGAAGTGTTTTAATATGCACTTCAACAGAGTTGTCTTAGTTAGGGTTTCTATTGCTGTGAAGAGACACCATGACCATAGCAACTTTTATTTATTTATTTATCTATTTATTTATTTATTTTTTAGGGATGTATTTGTTTGTTTGTTTATTATACAGTATATAATCTGGCTGCATATACTCCTGCATGCCTGAAGAGGGCACCAGATCTCATTACAGATGGTTGTGAGCCACCATGTGGTTGGTGGGAATTGAACTCAGGATCTCTGGAAGAGCAGCCAGTGCTCTTAATCTTTGAGCCATCTCTCCAGCCCCCAGGCCCCCCTCATTCCCCACCCTCCACCCCCACCCCTGCCACACACACACAGCACCTTTTCTAAAGGAAAACATTTAACTCGGGTGGCTTACAGTTTCAGAGGTTTAGTCCATTATTGTCATTGTCGGGGAGCATGGCGGCATGCAGGCAGACATGGTGCTGGAGAAGGAACACAGAGTTCTACAACTTGGTCCATAGACAACAGGAAGTGAACTGTGTCCTATACTGAGCACAGCTTGAGCAAAGGAGACCTCAAAACCCACTCCCACAGTGACACACTTCCTCCAAGAACACCACACCTACTCCAAGAAAGCAGCATCTCCTAATAGTGACGCTCCCTCTGAGGGCCATTTTCTTTCAAACCACAAGGATCTTGGGACCGATCACTCCCCTTATATCTGTTTCTTCACCTGGCAGAACCAACAGAAGCACAGAGATAAGCAGACAGTAATGACAACCAGCAGTGCTCACCACGTGGACTTGAGCCAGGGCTCATGTGACACCTCACAGGGATCTCAGACACCAGCATTAGGGCTGCAGCCAGTCTTTCCTAAGTGTCCTATTCAGAAGGGGGCATAAACAGACCTGTCCTTGGAGGTGACAGTCCCATTTGCTGAAGGTCAGACTCTGTTCTTTTTCTGCCTTCTATCTCTTTATGTTTTCTCAGAGATCCACCGCCACTGCCACCACCTCCTTTTTTTTTTTTTTTT